CGATGTATTCCTTCCGATCTCACACGTTGCATCCAACGACAAAACCGAATTGCTTTCTCTCGTAATCGGCACGTTAACCTCTTCTTTAATTCTTTTTATGAATCACGAATTTTAAGAACTTACTTACTTACTTACTTACTTACTTACGTATATCTCTACTTATCTTACTAATGTATATATATTTTTACTTTATATTTATACTTATATTTATATTTACCGATATTACGACGATAAACGATCTATCCTACGAAGAAAGGAAGTCGAAACGCTATATGAAACAAATTAGATAAGATTGCACCTTCCTTGCTTATTAAAAATCAATTAGCAATCGAATAAAAATACTTATGCATATATATATATATATATATATATATATATTCTATATATACACACACATATCTCTGTGTAAAACAAATTAAATAGCAAAGAATACTTTTTATGTATAGTTTTTTATTACAATGTTATAAGTACACGTTAAGAAGTATTAGAGAAAAAGTACCTGTAGAGGAGGATCGTTGGTTCCATCGATGCAACGATGAAAAGAAAAGTGAAGGAAAAAGATAGAGAAGAAAAAAAAATAAAATTCGGACTTTGGGATACAAAGCCTTTTGTTACGGCACTGAACGTTATATCCTCTTCCCTACCTCCCTTAGTCCGCGTTTCTCCCCCCACTCTTAGGAGACCTCCGTGGACCCTTCCTCGCTCCTACCCCCCACTCCCTTCTCGTACGAGTTAACAGTGGCGCTGTCGGCTTCCCCCACCTATGCCCAGGCAACAGCGCGCCGCCGCCATCCCCAACACCGGCGACAACCGCCCAGTCAGCGCTCCTCCGCTCATTCTCGCGCCGGACGTCGTGAGTATCGTGCGTGTCTTTAGAGTTATCGCATTCGCGACTAACCTCGAACTCGAACGTGTCGTCCTAACCTCTTCTACTTGATCTTAACATAGCAATAAAATATATTTCATTTATTCGTTTTACGGCAGTCGTAAAATTTATTTTTTTTTTTTTTTTTTGTTAACCACAACAGTGACAGTATACGATATTGTGAAAATAGTTTCGACATTATTATATCGTAATCTATATTCATATAATTCGTGTGATTATTATTATTATTATTATTATTATTATTATTATTATTATTATTATTATTATTATTATTATAAAATTAATATTAATATCATCATCATTATTATTTATTATTACTTTTATATTACTTTTATTACTGCTATTATTATTATTATTTTTTTTTATTATTATTATTAATAATAATATATCTCGAGTGATTCGTGGAGTACGGGATAAATAATAAAAGTGCGAGAAAATTACGTGGTTCGAATAAATATCAATCAATCTATCATAACGGATTATAAAAAGGATTATAATAGATAAGGAGAAAGAAAGCATCGAAGCATCGAATGATACGCGTGTCCTTCTTTTTCTTTTCTTCTTATTTCGTACGGGGAATAGTATAGTGCCTCCCCCTCATTCCACCCCACCCCCCCGTTTTCATCACTAAAACGTACAATTAGAAGAGATTATTTCGTCTTTTCTCGACGAAGAAAGCTGAATTAAATAGTGTTTTGTCGTTTTCGTCGTCTTTTCGTCGTTTGTTCGTTTGGACGCGGTAAGTGCGCCGAAAGGAGGCACGTGCTCTAACCGATAAAACTGGATTTCGTTTCGTCGAGTTGCCTCTCCACGCCGGTAAGTTTTACATAAGTATTATTTCGTCATAAAAATGTAAATGACACAAGAAATGAGAAATTTTTCATTCATATGAGAAACTTGTTTCTCAATGATCGATCGATCGATCGGTCGATCGATTGATCAATCGATCAGTGTTATTTGATTAGTAAAAATTTCTATTTTATATTCATTTTTTTTTCCCATTCGAAGCGAATCTCTTTTTATTTTTTTTCTAGTTTTTTTTATTTATTTTTTTTTCTTTTTTTTTTCTTTTTATTTTTTTTTATTTTTCTTTTTTTTTTTTTCTTTTTTTTTTTATTTTTTTTTTATTTTTTTTTTTATTTTTTTTTTTTTTTTACGGGAACAGTGACGCAAATAATATATTCTCATCTAGCGATCTCGTTTGTAACGAATGATACTTTGCGCGTTAGAGTAAACTCGTGGGAATGATCATAGAGCAAAGAGAGAGAGAGAGAGAGAGAGAGAGAGAGAGAGAGAGAGAGAGAGAGAGAGAGAGAGAGAGAGAGAGAGAGAGAGAACTATAGTGGTGGTGGTGATGTTGGTGATAGTGATTGTGCGATGCCGGTAGATAGGATGGTGTATTAGTGAGTGCTAAAAGTGATGATAACTATAGTAATAACTACGAATGATAGTGATTGCGTTCCAGTATCAAGAGTGTTAATAAAAGAAACGAAGTTCATTTTCTAATTAATCTTTTTAATACAACTCTCTCTCTTTCTGTGTGTGTTTATTCTCTCTTCTCCCTCTCTCTCTCTCTCTCTCTCTCTCTCTCTCTCTCTCTCTCTCTCTCTCTCT